AAAAGAAAAAACAAAGGACCCACTAGGTGTAGAGCCACACAGCTGTAATCTCAGTACTTGGGAAGCTGAGACCAGCGTAAGGTACACAATGAGTTAAAGGCCACCCTAAAATACATAGCAAGACACAAGAGGGGGAGAGGGGGAGAGGGGGAGTGAGCGCTTTTCATCTTATTTCAAAGCCCATGCTTAAAACAATACAACTCAAACACTCATAGTCAAATACCCAAAAAACACGTAAGGCCACTCCTTTCTCTCCCACACTATCTCGATGAAACCAACAACTTCCAGGTGGACTATGAACTGTAACAAAATCTTTGGTCCACTCTCCTCATAAAGCCAATCAAACTTCTTAAATATAAATTGGATAAAACCTTAATAGGACTTAGAGGCCCGGCCATAACCCTGTGCAGGGCCTGGCTAACTCCTCCAGTTCACCCCAGCCCATTTCCTCCTGGGGCTCAAGAGAGGCTATGTCCTCTCAGTCAGTAAGGGTACCCAGCTCTTCTTACCTCAGTTCCCACCCCTGTGGTCCCTCTGTCACTAACAGCTCCTCAATCCCACCACAATCTTCAAAATAAACTACACATCCTCCACCTCTTTTGGAGCACCTTCCAACTCTACCCCACATCCAACTTACATTATGTCTCCCTGGTATTCTCATTGTGACCTGTACTTTTCCACCTTGATCTTTACCAGTCAGTATTACACATTCTTTTTCAGCCTCTGGCTTTTTCCACTAGCTATTCCATGACAGCAGGCCCTCGTTTGTCACCTTGCCTTCAGTACTGCGGCTGCTGTACTGCTAATATGAAGGAAGCTCACAGTAGCACACACCTATAATCCCAGCACTGGCAAGGCTGAGCCAGGAAGACTACCGTAAGGTCAAAACCAGCCAATATTATATAGCCAAGATCCTGTCCCAAAATAACAGCAAAAAATCCACAGCACAAGCCTATAATCTCAGTACTTAGGACAGACACTAAGGCAAAGGGATCATGAGGCCAGCCTGGGCCACACACCAGCCCAGTCTTCTTAGCAAGACCCTATTTCAGAAAACCAAAAATTCGGATTATACCCACAATTTGAAATGAGATTCATTCACTACAGCCAACCTTCAAGGCCCTCCCTGCACCTTACTTCCACTCTAAAAAAGCCTACACCAAGGGGCTGGAGAGATGGCTCAGTGGTCTAAAGCACCTACTTGGAACAAACTTGGCAAAGCAAAGGGACCGCGGTTCGATCCCCCAGCACCACATGCCAGCCAGCCGCGCCCCCTGGTGGGCTGAGCTGGCCACACACACACACACACAAATGTTAAAAAAATTAAAAAATAAAAAAGCCTACACCAAGCTACCTCTTAGCACCTAAGACCCAAATTCACCTTCCTACAGAAATCAAGCTTTC